TAATTGCCCCAAACATGCAGGAATTAGGGGCCAAAAACAAGCATTTTTCTAGTTTCCAAATTTCCAAACAATAACTTGTGTTTAAGTCTATGGATCTCTCTAAAGTTGTACTACAAGGTTCTATACCACAAAGAGAAGGCTGGGATGGATTTGCGGGGTTAATTGCTCCAAGGAGGGTTCAAAAGTTGGGGGGGGGGGGGGGGGGGGGGGGAGGATTTTTTTTTCCAATTTTTTTAACAGGTTCATTTTTTTTCAAATTTTTCTAATTTAAAATTTATGAAAAGTATTTAAGAAGAAATCTTCAATTGCACAGTATTGTGCAATAGAAATGCAATCAAAACCTTATGGTACAGATTTGTTATCTAAATCTTCCAAGGCTTATCACTACCTTTTTGATACACAAAATATAGTGCAGCGATCATAACATTCTATACATCCTATCCATGAACATTTCCAGAAATTTATCAATGTAATATATGCTCAGATATTCAAGGCACAAAATGATGTTACACTTGTCAAGAAAATTACATAAATTTTGCAAGGTGCAGGAATCTAATATCTGTTCTAAAAATGAAAACAATGTCATTATTAAAGTCATCTTTAAAAATTGTCCAGAATTTTTGTTAAATCAACTAAAACCAATTGATTTATAAATGCAATATTTAATTTTACTTCCCACTAATAAATTAAAGCAATCTTTACCCTTCAGTGCTTACAGGCACTTTGATTAAGATCTTTGACCACATTTATTTTGTGTCAGAAACCTATATTATGTCAAAAATTTGATCACAATCCAAATTCAGACAGTATCAAGCTTGAATATTGTGTCCAAATTTGCCCCAACAGTTCAGGGTTCAACCTCTGCGGTCGTATCAGGCTACGCTCAGCGAAGCATTTTATTCCATTTGAAAGGGGCTTAACTCTACAACGGTTTAAGTGACGCCACCAAAATTCAAACTTGATCTGTGTTTTGTGGTAATAAGCATTGTGTACAAGTTTCATAACATTTGGTTGAGGCAAACTAAAGTTAGAGAACGGAAACCAACTTTGGGACGTACATACAGACGGACAGACGTATGTACAAACGGACAAGGGTAAATCTTAATGCCCCCTCCGCTACGGCGGGGGCATAAAAACATACAAGCCTCTGAAGAATAAACAAACACACAGCAATACACACAGCAAAACTCAGTTTAAAAGAAGTCTGAGTCCGATGTCAGAATAGGTAACAAAAGAAACTAAGCAAAATGACAATGATACATTAATTAACAAAAGACTACCCACTAAGCAGTTACTGACATGCCAGCTCCAGACCTCAATTCAACTGATTGAAAGATTATGTATTCATCATATGAAAATCAAGCACAATCCCTCTCGTTAGGGGTTTAGTACCATAACATCATAAAATATATGAGAAGAACATAACCTGTGTCATGCCAACAACTGGTTTTAGCATGAGTGAAACTCCCCAAAAATAATGTCAATGTGTCAGTATTTTTCATCATTCTATTATAATTCTGTATATATGCTGTTTTCTCCTTTTCAATCAAATTAAAATGTCAAATAGTATATGTAATAAAAGAACAGAGTTCCAATGTCCCCATGGTTGCACATATTTTATATTTCCAAGGGGCATAACTCTCTTCAAATAAACTGCTTCGCCAAGTGCAGCTGGATACGACTGCAGAGGTCCAACCCTGAACAGTTTGGGCAAAAATGGACACAATATTCAAGCTTTGGATACAGGTCTGAATTTGGATTGTAATTAAATATTTGACACATTATAGGTTTCTGACACAGAATAAATGCAGTCAAAGAACTTGAAATTGGTTGTATGATTTGAATTTATATTCAATTGAAGATTTCTTGCTGTTGTGCAATACACTGTGCTGTTGCGCAATACTTAGTAAATCTGTTCTCACTATATACAAACGAATTAGCAAAATAAATTGTGACCCCCAATTTTTTTCTTTGGAAAATTGACAATTTCTTAAATCTTGAGGGAAAAAAAATTGACCCCCCCACCCCCCCCCCCCCCCCCCCCTCCCCCCTTAAAAAAAAACAAGTCAATATCTTCAAGCATGACGAGTAAAAGTGTTGAAAACTGATTATCTAAGTGAATTTTCTAAGTCCAAGGACCATAACTCTGCACAAAATCATCAGACAGGAACAAAATTCAAACTTGAACTGTAACTTGTCATGATAAAACTATATACCAATTATCAAATCAATATCTTCAAGAATGACAAAAGAAAGTGCGGAAAACTGATTATTTTAGTGAATTTTCTAAGTCAAAGGACCATAACTCTGCACAAAATCATCAGACCAGAACAAAATTCGAACTTGATCTGTAACTGTCATGATAAAACAATACACCAAATATCAAATCAATATCTTCAAGCATGACAAAAAAAAGTTATTAATAATAAGTTATTGTCTGAAAACTAGAAAAATGCTTGTTTTGGACCCTTTTTGGCCCCTAATTCCTGAAAGGTTTGGGCAATTACCCCTAAAATGAATCCCAACCTTCTACTTGTGGTATTGAACCTTGTGGTACAATTTCAGAGCAATCAAAATACTTATACACAAGTTATTGTCCTGAAACTAGAAAAATGCTTGTTTTGGCCCCTTTTTGGCCCCTTATTCCTAAACGGCTGGGACCATCACCCCCAAAGACAATCCTAACCATCCTTTTGTGGTATTGAACCTTTTGGTTAAATTTCATAGAGATCCATACACTTAAACTAAAGTTATTGTGTGGAAACCAAATGTCTTCGGACGATGCTGATGACGACGATGTGATACCAATATACGACCGCAAATTTTTTTTGGGTCATATAAAAAGTCAATCGTCCACCATTATAGAACTTGTCCGAGATATTGCTGATATTAACCTATAGTATAAGTTTTATAAAAATCTGGCAAGAATTGTACCCTTGAGAGCGCTAACGAGGCCATTTTCCATAAATTTAATATTTCCAAAGGGACATAACTCTTTTAAAAAAAGTTGATCGTCCACCATCTTAGAATTTGTACGAGATATTGCTGATATTAACCTATAGTATAAGTTTTATAAAAATCTGGCAAGAATTGTACCAGTGAGAGTGCTAACGAGGCCATTTTCCATAAATTTAATACTTCCAAGGGGCATAACTCTTCTAAAAAAAGTCGATCAGCCACCATTATAGAACTTGTCTGAGATATTGCTGATATTAACCTATAGTATAAGTTTTATAAAAATTTGACAAGAATTGTACCCGTAAGAGCGCTAATGAGGCCATTTTCCATAAATTTTATATTTCCAAGGGGCATAACTCCATTCAAAATAGTCGATCGTCCACCAATTTAGAACTTGTCCGAGATATTGCTGATATTAACCTATAGTATAGGTTTTATAAAAATCTGGCAAGAATTGTACCTGTGAGAGTGCTAACGAGACCGGACAGACACACAGACGGACAGACGCCCATTATTTCCATGTCCCCTGCAATGCTTTACACGGGGGACAATAACCATAACTGGGAAATATATGAATGGGTTATGATTTTGCCATGACATGTATTCATGGGTCATGATTTTAACATGACTTCATTATATGAATGGCAGTGTTTTTGAAAACCCAGCAGCATGTCTGTAGGAAAAATCACAAGCTGACCCCTGAGATCCTCTCCCATGGAGGGGAACACAACTTTTAAGACAACCAAAGCATGATGATCAGGAGGTATTCTATACATAAGCAGTCTAAATTGATGGGGGATGCAAACTTTTACAATGAACTTATCTTCACCTCACAGAGCATTGGTGAACCTGTATACCAATGGTATACTATATATATATATATATATATATAAAGTGCCTAGAAAATCAACCTAACAATGTTAGAGTAGATTTGATTATTTACTTCCTCCCCAAGCGGGGCTGGAACCTGTACTTTTCACTTCATACTTCTACGGCAACACCGCCTAGCATTGCGCAGACGCCTTATCCCCTCCTCTAACTATAGCTGATAAAAATCAGCTTTCGTTTCGGGAGGTGTTACCTTCTCGTAGGAATTAAACAAGGACATCTAGACGCAATATATATATATATTATGGGATACTCTATTTAACTATCTAATACAGAATACACCTAACCAAAGGTTCACTTTTCAATTACACCCAAAAAAAATTTAATAGGTAGGTGAATGGTGTCTTAAATCTGATGATTAAAAACCTATGTCATAATTTCTAGTGATTAATGATCATGAAAATGTGAAGTAAGACACAAAAAATAGTTCTGAACTATAATTACATGTAATAGATATATTTCCACACCTTTAAAGTATGTAATGTAAAGGAAACTAATTATGACAGGTTTTATGATCTATTTATCTATTTATCATATCAACTAAAAGTGGATTTGAATTAATGGTAAGGATTGTTTAAAACCTTTAAAGGAAACATCACGACTTTAAAAGATGTCATGATGGAGAACACTGCCGTTCCTTTAATATATTTTGGTTATTTTTCAGTCATTTATGGTTTTTTTCTGAATTCCTATTTTTTGTGAACAATATACTAAATTAAATGTCTTATATAGATTTTATATAATATCTATAGGTTTTATGCCTAGTAGTATATAGAAAGTCAATGTTGACTGGGTGTAATTAAAATATTATAGTTCAATAAGTTAAATTTGATTTCAACAAACAGTAAAAACAGTCTTGTTTCCGTTAAGATTGAATATCAATGTGAAAAGTTTTAGACAAATCATTCATTAGCTTTAGTACATCTCAATTAAATCACAATTAGACTTGAAAGGAGAAAATAATATCAAAAGTTCAATAAATTTTATTCTGACTACTGAAAGATTACTGAAATGGCATAACAATTTTTGTAAAATATTAGTTTGTGTTTTCTTGGATCTGTGGAAAAACTGATTTTAAAAACATAGTGATATCAATTTTTTTTTTTTTTATATATATATATCAAACATTAAGTGATATAGAGGAAGAATATCATTTGACTACAGTGAAAAGAAATAATTACAACAGCTGAAAATAAAGCCAATTCCTCAGAGCAAAGAGAAAAGTTAAGGATTTATCAGATAAAAAGAACTTCTGTGATAACGGTCACTGAAGAAATGAATATTTGTACTATCAGGAGATAATTTGATTGTTTACACACCACAAGATACTTATTTACAAATAATAAATCATTAATTCTATGTTAACTGCACCTTTAAGTTATACCTGTAAAAATGTCATGTAAAGTTAAAATAGATTTTGATCTAAATGTTTAAATTTTAATAAGAGTCAAAAATGAGGAATACTTATCTTTTCTAAAAGTTAAATAATACTAAAAGGAATATAAATTAAATTGGACTATTGAACAGTGGAGACATTAATTATAAGTATTTTTAAAAAATGTGAAAGTGAAATATAAGTTGGATTTTATTTTACAAAACTTCTATCCTAATATGTTTTTAACAAATTATATATATGAACTATCATGACAAATTAATTTTACCTAGAGGATAGTTATGAACGTGTCAAGTAACTGTGTGGAATGGTGGTGTGATGAACCTGAGACATTACTGGCATTAGAAATTATTATCATCATTCTCTGTTTAATTGGAAGTGGTGGAAATATTCTAACTGTGCTAGCCATCTGTTTCTCCAGTTTACGTTTCAATATAAACTGTGTTCTAATTGGAAGTTTAAGTTTTGCTGGAATTTTATACTGTTGTTTGATCCTACCATTAGAAGTTGTGACATTTCACAGACAAAATCATTCAGTTCCGCCATTATTCTGTAATGCCGTCGGAGGAATTCGATACACACTTGTGGGTGTTATTGTGATACATTTAGGAATAATTGCACTGTATCGGTACCTTAATGTTGTACATTTGGCACAGTATCAAAAACTTTCCAAGACAAAACCTTTGATAATAACAATTGCTATTGGGTGGTTACTGCCACTTGTGTTTACAATGCCGGCTTCATTCCAAGTCTGGGGTGGATATACGTATGTTCCTGCCATTTTAGCCTGTACGTTCGATAGAGACATAGAACAATCAAACAGAATTGTCACTGTATCACTAGGTTTTATAGTACCATGTATTTTCATAATATTCTGTTATGCTAGAATAGGAATCAGAGCATATGGAAGCTCAAAACGTGCAAAAAGCACGTCTCTCATGAAAGCTTTGCGTCTTTCTGCAATGATGTTGTGTATATTTGCAGCATATTTTGTTGGGACATTTCCTTATTTCATTGTCAATATTCATGACCAATCATTTTCTAAACCTGTCCATCATATCTGGACAACATTCTTAGGATGGACACTTTACTGTATAAATCCTATAGTGTATACAGTTATGGATTTAAAATTCCGCAGAGCCTATAAACAACTTCTCTTGTGTAAATGTGAAAAAAATCCTGTAAGAAGGGTAGCTTCAGGTATAAGTACAAGAGTGTAATATTAAATGTTTCTGTATTTCTTTAGTTGAATTGTTATATTAACAGGGTAGCCTTTAACCCTATGACTTACCTCTTGTACACCAACTAATTTTTGCAAGCGATTTATTAACATGACTTTTACTAGTAAAATAAGTGAATACATATATGTCTTAAATCTTGTCATTAATATAAAGGTTTGAGCCAAGGCTTCCCAAGAAAAAAAAATTTAGTTCCACGATGTATTTTATAAAGATCTTAATGTGTTTAAAATATCTTTTTGGATAAGGGCTATATCTATTTTGTCCAAACACTGAGTGTAAAATGACCATTTTATGCCAATTATGTCAATTTTGACATGGAAATGAGATGTGTCAATGCTTATATACAAATGCATACCAATTGCCTTTGACTCACTCAGTCACTGTTAGAGTGTAACATAAAATAATATCCCCCACGAAATATTGTATGTTGGACAAAATTTCATATAAAATAATTGTCTGTGGACACTATTTCATAATGAAATACTGTCCTTGTCCAAAATGTCCATGAAATCTTGTCATCTCCTTCTGGACAATATTTCACTATGAAATACTGTCCATTCCAATATTTCACTGTGAAATTCTGACCATTCCAATATTTCACTGTGAAATACTGTCCATGAAAATATTTCTTAATCTAATTATATCTTCCCTGAGAAATCATCTGCCATGAAATTGTGAGCGTTTCTGGATTTAAAAAAAAAGTTTTTCATGAAAAGTATGTGTATTACCACAAATTACTGCACACATTAATTATGCAGGTCTGTTTGTTATAATCAATCAAATAAAACATTTTAATGATATTATTATCCAAAATATTAAATGTTTATAACCTCCCTTACATGAGAAATGAAAAAAAAAGATTGTATAATATTAACCCGTATAATTCAGTCGTTATATTCCACTGCTCAATGATGGCTACATTAACGCCTGAAGGCCTTGTCAATAAAAAATCGTCAAATAATCATTCAGAATTAGCTCGGGATTTATAACCTATCTGGATAACATTGAGCTATTAGCTGATTAGCTCTCTCTCATAAAGAACGCCAATCAAAATCCTGGATTTGTGACGCGTTTTTTTTGTATAAAGAATTCAGGCCCTCGCAAGTGGGAGAGTCAATCAGGGAGGGACTGAATAATTCAGGTTAGTATAATATATGCTAAATATGTTAGTAACAATGACATAATAAATGGGGAATGTGTCCAATGGGACACAGATGATGCCCCCGCTTGCTTATAATGCTATAAAGGGACATAACTCAAGAATGGTAAAAGTGACGCTACCCAAATTCATACTTGATCTGAGTTTAGTGGTAATAAGCATTTTGTATGAGTTTCATAACATTTGGTTGAGGCAAACTTAAGTTAGAGAACGGAAATGAAAAATTCAGCATTTTTTTCCATTTGTAAAGGGCACAACTCTAGAAAGGTAAAAGTAACGCCACCCAAATTCAAATGTGATCTGTGTTTTGTGGTAATAAGCATTAATTATGTATGAGTTTCACAACATTTGGTTGAGGCAAAATAAAGTTGTGGAATGGAAACCAATTTCGGGATGAACAAGGGTAAAACTTAATGCCCCCTCCGCTACGGCAGGGGCATACAAATTTCATGACAATCCATCTACATGTATGAAATACATTCTCAATATACACAATATATAACCTTGGATAACCTCCCTTTAACAAATTTGTCCTTCTCTGGACATTAATTCATAGATTGGGACAAAATTTCATGATACAAAGTCATGAAATATTGTCTTGGGGGACAATATTTTATAGGACAATATATATTTTGCTTTACAAGAGGTTCCCCTTAAACTGACCTAATCACAAACTTTAACATGTAAACTATGCAAAAGTGTTGAAGTCAATAGACAATGACAGAGGGCAAGACTAAATAATCATTGATGTTACTGATGTGGGAATCAGTATAACTTCGTCTCACCAAGAAATTTCATCGCAGGCAAAATAAAAATTGTTCCTTCAAATGTTTTTCAAAATTTTCGCTTCATACTTCGGGAAAAATCACTTTCAATAGTTGTGAAAAGTTTTATGACACTGAGCTAATTCCAAATGCAGTGTAAAAATAATTCCATCAAAAAAAAAATGTATGACTACTGTTTCATTCCAAAACAATAGCATATTTCTTGGTAACTCATTAAAATGGTAATTTGCCGCCATGTTAATTTTTTAGATTTTGTTCATGCAATTGATAAACAAAACTAACAAGTATGCACATGTTGTGCTTAGCATTACCGCCACTCATAATCGAAAGTTTTGGAAAACAGGAAGAAGGTTCCAAAAAGATCCATAAAGTCAATCCACACACTTTTCACTGTTAGGTTGCTGACCATATTGAAAATCATTCTATTCAGAAGTACATGAGAAAAGTGTGACAAAAAATATGAAGTTAATTCAATATATATTGAACAAGACTGCACACGCTGAAATGTCTTGCCTGCTTTACTGACCATTGATTTTATATTAAAAGTCTTAAAGATAAATGTTTAACTACAAGTATCACATACACTAAACATTTCTAAAGATCCATTACAATGCGTTCAAGGTCAGATAAATCCTGTCAGACAGACATGTTCACCTTACAATTATTTCATACACCAAATATAGTCCCCCTATTACTTGTGGTAAATGAAAAACAGACCAAAACATTGACCAATAAACCCTGTCAAGGTTAGAATACCTGCCAGACAGACATGTACATCTTACAATCATTCCATACTACAAGTATAGTTGACCTACTGCTAATTAGTACTTGAAAAACAGACCAAAACACAAACAAGAGTGCACAGGCTAAATGTCTCGCCTTCTTTACTAACCATTGATATTATGTTGATAGTCCTAAATGAAAGCTTTACTACAACTATTACATAAACTTAACATGATCCAAGAAAATGAAGTCAAGGTCATATAAACCAAACGAGAAATACATGTACACCTTACAATCATTCAATACACTAAATATAGTTGACCTATTGCTTATAGTTTCTAAGAAACAGACTTAACCAAGAAAACTAAACATTGACCAATGAATTGTGAAAATGAGGTCAAGATCAGACGAACCATGCCAGGCAGACATGAACATCTTACAATCCTTCCATACAACAAATATAGCTGACCTATTGCTTATAGTTTAAGAAGAACAGACTGAAACACATAAACTTAACACTGAGCAATGAACTGTGAAAATGAGGTCAAGGTCAAATAAAACCTGCGAGACTGACACGTACATCATAGAATATTTCCATAAACCAAATATAGTTGACTTATTGCATATAGTATAAGAAAAAAGACCAAAACTCAAAAACTTAACTTTGACCACTGAACCATGAAAATAAGGTCAAAGTCAGATGACACCTGCCAGTTGGACATGTACACCTTACAATCATTCCATACACCAAATATAGTAGACCTATTGCATAAAGTATAAGAAAAATGGACCAAAACACAAAAACTAAACTATAACCACTGAACCATGAAAATGAGGTCAAGGTCAGATGACACCTGCCAGTTGGACATGTACACCTTACAATCCTTCCATACACAAAATATACTAGACCTATTACTTATAGTATCTGAGATATGGACTTGACCACCAAAACTTAACCTTGTTCACTGATCCATGAAATGAGGTTGAGGTCAAGTGAAAACTATCTGACGGGCATGAGGACCTTGATAGGTACGCACATACCAAATATAGTTATCCTATTACTCATAATAAGAGAGAAATTGACATTACAAAAAATCACAACTTTTTTTTCAAGTAGTCACTGAACCATGAAAATGAGGTCAAGGACAATGGATATATGTGACAGATGGAAACTTCGTAACATAAGGCATCTATGATCTATATACAAAGTATGAAGCATCCAGGTCTTCCACCTTCTAAAATATAAAGCTTTTAAGAAGTAAGCTAACGCCGCCGCCGGATCACTATCCCTATGTATAGCTTTCTGCAACAAAAGTCGCAGGCTCAACAAAAACTTAACAATGACCAAAGAACCATGAAAATGAGGTCAAGGTCAGATGAAACCTGCCAGACTGACATGTTCCCCTTACAATCATTCTATACACCACATAAAGTTGACCTTCTGCTTATAGAATCTGAGAAACTGACCTAAAAAGTGAAACTGTGAGCTACTGCTCACTGATGATACCTCCGCCCAAATATTTTGGTAAACAGGAAGTTGTTGAGTGATGAATCTGAAAATGCATCAACGGTATACATGGTATAGCTGACTTATATAAACCCTGAAACCAAAAAAAAATTTCAGAAATCCTTGTAATGTAGTTACTGAGAAAGATGCGATGAAAATATTCATGGGACGGACGGACTGACAGATGGATGGACGGACAGACAGAGGTAAAACAGTATACCCCCACTTTTTTAAAGCAGGGGTAACTTTTTTAAAACGGGGGTATAATTATGTAACTTTAACTTTGATCACTGATCCATGAGATGAGGTTGAGGTCAGGTGAACCCTGTCTGACGGATATGTAGACGTTGCAAGGAACCCATATACCGAATATAGTAATCCTATCACTCATAATAAGTGAGAAATTCACTTTACAAAATAAATATAACATAAGGTATCTGCATACAAGGTATGAAGCATCTAGGTCTTCTACCCTCTGAATCTGAAATATAAAGCTTTATACAAATAGTTTACCCCGTCACTGCCGCCGGATAGTAATACCAGCTGTCTCGCATACTGCGACTTTCATCTCAGGCGAGACAAAAACTAAATTTTCTGCAAATAGGAACTCCCCCGAAGTGTCTGACAGATCCGTAAAGTTTTATCATGTTACAAATCATCACTGTCAAGCTGGTGATTAAATATAAAATCATTCTGTGTAGTAGTACTTGAGGAAAGTGTGATGGAAATAAATATTTGTTGGATGAACTGGTGGATGGACAGACAAGGTGAATGCAATAGCTCCCACTTTAAGAGGTGGGGTATAATAATAACTAGACATTAAAAGATCATTATCATGTTAACAGCAGTCTCCCCTTAAAGTTAAACTGTATAGACTCCCATTTAAAGCAAAGCAAATTGAATTCCAGTCCCCACACTGTTAAACATTTGCAAATCAAACATTTATATGAATATTTACACGTTTCATGAAATTGTTGTAGTTACCTAAAACTAAATGCCCTGGGTACCAGTTCTGGACTTGCTACAGATCCTTAAATTATGACTAACTAACAATAAATCTAAAGGTTATTCACTGTATAAATTCAGATGGGAAATGAATTCATAATTTTCTAAGTCATTTTTAAATAAAACATGTGACACAATAATTGTTATTGTTGTAAATATGAAAGGATCTGTGGAGTTAGTGTCAATGACATCAACAAAAGATAAATATATAGTCTACCACTGCATGGAATGTGAAGAGATATTTCTCCACTGTATATCTTACCAATATAAAGGTAGATAGAGGATGGATCTGAAAATGTGTCACACGGTATATCTTACCAATATAAAGGTAGATAGAGGATGGATCTGAAAATGTGTCACATGGTATATCTTACCAATATAAAGGTAGATAGAGGATGGATCTGAAAATGTGTCACACGGTATATCTTACCAATATAAAGGTAGATAGAGGATGGATCTGAAAATGTGTCACATGGTATATCTTACCAATATTATATAAAGCTTAGTACTAAATATTAACAGGTCTGATTTGTAGTTGTTGTGAAAAATGCAACAGAAATGTGTTATGCATGAACGGACAGACAGACAGAAGGACATAGGTATATCAGTATATTCCATACATTGGAGCAGGAGTATTTTAAAGTTGGTTACTTAAAGTATCACCCTTTTAGAAAACTGGTGAATTTTAAAATCTGAAGAAAAGCTAGTTTTACCTTTTCTTTTTTAATAATTAAATTTTGGATGTAGCATGTCTTCTGATTGGCTGAAATTTTTTGTCTATCAGCTCATAGACATGATTTTGTCATGTGATTGTGACATCATCAACGTTTTTTCATGATTTACTCCTTAAAAATGGAATTTTATTAATTTCAAATTATAAGGAATGACTGTAATATTTTTTCTGTCTATTCGAAATAACTTCAAAAATGTGGTGCACACTTTTAAATAACCTGCTACGAGGGTTATTCAGTGTGTACCACATTTTTGATGCTATTTCTTCATAGACAGAAAAAAATATTAGTCATTCCTTAAATAGAAAAGAAAGGATATTGGGTACAATCCTAGACACAAAATCAGTACATGCACAGCAAAAAACACAAAAAGCAAAGGAACAGCGCTTTTATTGCTGTTCTTCATCTCTGTTGTTAGAATTATATAAAACTTACAGTACAATGATATAGAAAGGAAGAATTTTTAAATATCGGACTAAAGTGAAAAGCACTATTAAAGGCTAAAAAGTATATATATACTGTACTGAACGTCTGTTTCCTACCTTCCTACGTAACCCTATCACATGTTATGAACATGTTTGGTAACATATCTTACAAGTTATTTTATTACATATATTACTCAGCTAAAGGGCTCTAAAGAGCTTATGTTTCTGTGCTATCTGTATGCATATATAACTAGAGGCTCTAAAGAGCCTGTGTCGCTCACCTTGGTCTATGTGCTTATTAAACAAAGGACACAGCTGGATTCATGACAAAATTGTGTTTTGGTGATGGTGATGTGTTTGTAGATGTTATTTTACTAAACATTCTTGCTCCTTACTATTATCTCTATCTATAATGAACTTGGCACAGTAGTTACAGTGAAAATATTTTGTAAAAATTTACAAAAATTTACAAAATTTATGAAAATTGTAAAAAATTGACTATAAAGAGCAATAACTCCTTAAGGGGTCAATTGAAAATTTTGGTCATGTTGACTTATTTGTAGATCTTACTTTGCTGTACATTATTGCTGTTTACAGTTTATCTCTATCTATAATAATATTCAAGATAATAACCAAAAGCTGCAAAATTTTCTTAAAATTACCAATTCAGGGGCAGCAACCCAACAACGTGTTGCCTGATTGGTCTGAAAATTTCAGGGCAGATAGATCTTGACCTAATGAACAATTTTATCCCGTCAGATTTGCTCTAAATGCTTTGGTTTCAGAGATATAAGCCAAAAACTGCATTTTACCCTATGAACTATTTTTTAGCCATGTTGGCCATCTTGGTTCGCGGGCGGGGTCATCGGACACATTTTTTAAACAAGATACCCTAATGATGATTGTGGACAAGTTTGGTTTAATTTGTCTTAGCAGTTTCAGAGAAGATTTTTGTAAAAGATTACAAAAATTTACAAAAAATGGTTAAAAATTGACTATAAAGGGCAATAACTCCTTAAGGGGTCAACTGACCATTTTGGTCAAGTTGACTTATTTGTAGATCTTACTTTGCTGAACATTATTGCTGTTTACAGTTTATCTCTATCTATAATAATATTCAAGATAATAACCAAAAACTGCAAAATTGCCTTAAAATTACCAATTCAGGGGCAGCAATCCAACAACGGGTTGTCTGATTCATCTGAAAATTTTAAGGGCAGATAGATCTTAACCTGATGAACATTTTTACTCCATGTCAGATTTGCTCTAAATGCTTTGGTTTCAGAGATATAAGCCAAAAACTGCATTTTACCCCTATGTTCTATTTTTAGCCATGTCAGCCATGTTGGTTGGCAGGCGGGGTCATCAGACACATTTTTTAAACTAGATACCCTAATGATGATTGTGGACAAGTTTGGTTAAATTTGGCCTAGTAGTTTCAGAGGAGAAGATTTTTGTAAAAGTTAACGGACGACGACGAAGGACGACTGACGACAAGTGATGAGAAAAGCTCACTTGGCCCTTTGGGCCAGGTGAGCTAAAAACCAGACTTTAATTAAAGATTATTTTACTTTACTTCATGCACCTATAAAGTCCCCACATTATTCGGGAAGCACTGTTTAACTCAAGAATATTTCCCAAAATAGACTATGTTAAACACTTTTCACAAAAATGAAATTATTTTACCTATCTACCTACATGTACCTTTTTTTGTTTCTTAAGGAGAGTGAGACAATCATATATTTAGACGTTGGCTAATCATTGCTAATTACCACTTTAATAATCAAGCCAATTTTTCAAATCAAAAAGAAAACTTGATGATTTATCAGATAGAGAATTACTCTATGATATTGGTCAGTGAATAAAGAATATTTGTACTATCAGGAGATCATTGGATTGTTTAAAAGGAAACTTGCTGATTTATCAGATAGAGAGAACTACTCTGTGATCATGGTGCGATATCGGTCATTGAAGAAATGAATATTTGTACTATCAGGAGATCATTGGATTGTTTAAAAGGAAACTTGCTGATTTATCAGATAGAGAGAACTACTCTGTGATCATGGTGCGATATCGGTCATTGAAGAAATGAATATTTGTACTATCAGGAGATCATTGAATTGTTTACATTCAGCTATGTACTTATTTACAAGTAACTAATCAATTAAATTAACTACCTTTTACCTTTAAAAAAATCATGCAAAGTTTAAATAGATTTTTTAACAGACAGATTTTTTTTAATAAAAGTTCATAAATATGGACAAAAAAACAGGAAGAATTATTTGTCCTGCAATGTATATTTATACTACTTTTAACAAAAGTATGTGACACAAACTAACATAATATACATTTTACAACTTGCAAATGAGAACATGAAAAATAGGCTGGAATTATTATTTATTATATAACGTTGAATGTGTATCTAACAGATTATACATGTGAGTTGCATGTCAAGTTATTTATACATTTTCTTATATATATATAATTAGCAAGTTAACTATGAAGGATAAATGTATTGAATGGTGGTGTGAGGAACCTGAGACATTACTGGCATTAGAAGTCATTGTCATCATTCTCAGTTTAATTGGATGTGCTTGGAATGTTATCACCATTCTTGCGATTTGTTTCTCCAGTTTACGTTTCAAAATATATTGTGTCTTTATTGGAAGTTTAAGCCTTGCTGGATTTTTATACTGTTGTTTGATCCTACCATTAGAAGCAGTGACATTTCACAGACAATATCATTCAGTGCCACCATTATTTTGTAATGCCGTCGGAGGAATTCGATACACACTTGTGGGTGTTATTGTGATACATTTAGGAATAATTGCACTGTATCGGTACCTTAATGTTGTACATTTGGCACAGTATCAAAAACTTTCCAAGACAAAACCTTTGATAATAACAATTGCTATTGGGTGGTTACTGCCACTTGTGTTTACTATGCCTGCTTCATTCCAAGTCTGGGGTGGATTTAAGTATGTTCCTGCCATTTTAGCCTGTACGTTCGATAGAGACATAGAACAATCAAACAGAATTGTCACTGTATCACTAGGTTTTGTAGTACCATGTATTTTCATAATATTCTGTTATGTTGGAATAGGAGTCAAAGCATATGGAAGCTCAAAACGTGCAAAAAACACATCTCTCATGAATGCTTTGCGTCTTTCTGCAATGATGTTGTGTATATTTGCAGCATATTTTATTGGGACATTTCCTTATTTTGTTGTCAATATTTATGACCGATCATTTTCTAAACCTGTCCATCATATCTGGACAACATTCTTAGGATGGACACTTTACTGTATGAATCCTATAGTGTATACAGTTATGGATTTTAAATTCCGCAGAGCCTACAAACAACTTTTCTTGTGTAAATGTGAAAAAAATCCTAGAAGAGGGTCTTCATTTAATTGTACAAATCCCCTAAAAAGGGTGCCATCAGGTACAAATACAAATCCTGTAAAAAATGTGCATCCAGATACACTGAGTACACTTCCTATAAAAAGCTTGCATTCAAGTACAAGTTCATATTCTGCAAGAAAAGTGCCTTCAGATACAAGTACAAATCCTGTTAGATGGTTGCCTTCAGGTGCAACTACATATGAGTGATATACATTTTACTTGAACATTTAACATTTTTTTTTTATCTTATATTAATGCGACAGAGTTGGACTTGAATATTTGTGTCATGCACATACTAATTTTTGTTAGAGAATAGAATGGAAACTAATTTTTGTTAGAGAATAGAATGGATACTAATTTTTGTTAGAGAATAGAATGGATACTAATTTTTGTTAGAGAATAGAATGGATCTTGTCAGTGTAAGATGCATGTAATTTTTGTTAGAGAATAGAATGGTTCTTGTCAGTGTAAGATACATGTAATTTCTGTTAGAAAATAGAATGGATGTTATCAGTGAAAGATACTAATTTCTGTTAGAGAATAGAATGGATCTTGTCAGTGTAAGATACATGTATCTGACAATTCAATGTTATTTTTTTCCTATTTATTGCTAACGTTTATGACAGTACAAATGTACCCCGACTTAAACAATAGTATGCTATGACTAAACTTCCTGATTCCTGGACAGGAATAGTATTACATCTTTTAACTTAAGTCATAACTGTGAAGGTGTCATACAAACTTAAAATGTATTTTGATCAAGATAATATAAAGAAAACCAATCAAGTTGAAATGTGAGCTACTGTTTAGTCAAACGTCATTATCCCTGCTATTCAATAAACATGAAGTTGATAAGCAATGGATGTGAAAAGGCATTACATGTTATTGATACCAAACTTAAGTAAGCTCTAATTTGAAGTTCCATACAAAAAATGAGGCAAAAATTTCATATATATGGCCAATATGTGAAAGAATACATGTATGCAAGTATTTGGTAAACAGGAAGTTGAGCAATGAATGCGAAAACACATTATGGGATGAAAGGACAGACAGATGGTATAAGGTTTCTCAAAAAGCCAAAAAGGTCTTTTTCTTTGAGCTTAATATATGCATGATATGTATGTAATAACATTTTATCAAGGAAAATGTAACACAAGAACTAATGAACACTGACGATAGACAGAAATGATATTCTCAATAAAAATGTTAAAATAGGTTGAAAGTTCAACATAACATTAGTCTAATTAAACTATGTTTTTTCTATGCTTTATTTTATTTTATAGTAAACTGCACTAGTCATTTTTGGGGCCCTATATTATAAGCTTGCTGTTTGGTGTGAGCCAAGGCTCCGTGTTGAAGGCCGTACTTTGACCTATAATGGTTTACTTTTACAAGTTGTAACTTGGATGGAGAGTTGTCTCATTTGCACTCATACCACATCTTCTTATATCTATATGCAACACCATTGGATGAACTTGCTAAACTCACTTAAACTGAACTGCTTCATTTTTAGTCTATACAGTATAGACTACATATTACTCTAGTCTAAGTTTCAGTATCGATTTAAGAAAATTGGCTGGCAATTCCATTAAGTTTTTCTACACTAAAATTGAATACATGAATTACAGCTGCCTACAATCTTTTATGGCAACTGAGAAGGGGTCTTTTACAAAAGTTGAATCAAATGAAATTAGCCCTAAAAAAAAATTAAAAAAAACATCTGTTACATTTGCCACTCATGATCACAGGGCTATAATTTGAGGTCCAATGGTTGGGATTTAAAATAAGGTCGACCAACACAAACTGTATACTCATTTTTTTTATTTTACCTGGCAGCCAGTTCTTAGAAAAAATTTCCAGTGCCAAAATTTCTATATAATAAACTGTCATAAATCAAAATTGGTCAGTGATCTAACAAAATGTTCCCAGTTGAACCTATATAATTAAGACTGAAGTCCACTAAGATTAATTTTCATCCCCCGAGCTCATCACTTTTCCCTTTTACTGGTTGCAGCTCCTGTAGTAGTAGTATTGTAGTACGCTTAATACATTTGCAGACCAATTATTCAAATGAATATTTACAGGTTCCAAATTGTTCCAAGATATTGTTGTATTTTCAGATTGATGAAAGGATAAAATTACAAACATGTTCCAAAAACAAATGCCTTGGTGATCATGATTCTTTGCTTGGTACAGACAGTCAAAATCATGACAAAAAATCTAATGGTCCTTCTTAAAAATTCGACATGTTAGATTAAATGTTTACCAAAATTTAGCTCTCAACACGTTAGTCACAGTTCTGCAGAAATACAGCAGGCAAAGAAAACTAAAATTTGGTTTCCGCATTATCCAAATCAGACTTTTTACTTTGCTCCAAAGATTTGTGTGCTGCTTGTGTTAGATTTGAAATTATCCCTGTTTTGTAAGGGGTCCAATTAAAATCAGATTGAGAGCAACTGAGTGCAACAATATCAGGGGTGTGAAATGCCGTGCCCTACTTGCACAACTCTCTATTTAACCTTTTGTCATCAGTAATAACATATATATTAAAACTTGAAAAGCATTGGCTGAACATTTCCCAAGTTACTGCATGGAAACGACATTAAACTGCAATATTAATTTACCAATCAATCAAGGATCACAACTACAGAAAGGCAAACATAAAAATTGTCAATAATATTGATCTTGACCTTTATTTTGGCCTCAGTAAAAATATATCAAATTTTAAAAACAATTGGCTGAATGGTTCTTAACTTTTCAGTACATAATATAGCAAGGAAACAGCTAGAGGTGCCTTGCATTTCCCGAGGAGAATTGTTTCATAAGAATGAAAATCTATTTGCAATCATACCACATCTACTGGTACATATTTCTGAACTAAAAATTGACAAGTTTACAGTAAAATTACTTCATTCCAAATTCATTTCAACAATTTGGAAAATTTAGGACATGTAACCTCATTCCAGAAAAGTGAAATTTCAGCTTTACATGCCTAGGACAAGTGGCCACTACAACACTACAATTATTTCAACAACATTTACTGACTTAATTATGATAACAAACCTTAAAGTCTGATGTATGCAATAAAGCAATCTTTTTTAACACATAAGTACAAATGTATACTCACTTCTGTGAAAAGGACATCCTTTAAAATGCAGAGGTAATCCAGTTGTAGCTCCGTTGCCTTTCTCTCCTGTACACAAAGCCCGAAAATTTTCTGCAGTCTTTGGCAACTTATCTTTAAACAGCTCAAAAACAATTCTTCCAACTATAAAACAAAATTTATGACATGTTTTAACTATCCTTGAAAAACTTTAACTTTAATGTCATGACTATCAAAATGTAACATTGGAACTGCAAAAAAAGTCCATTTATCAGTAAAATACAAGAGCTCGAGGCTGTCAAAATGACAAAACACAACATAGAAAACTAAAGACTAAGCAACATGAAACCTACAAAAACTGGGGGTGATCTCAGGTGCTCTTGAAGGGTAAGCAGATCCTGCTCCACATGTGGCACCCATCGTGTTGCTCATGTTGAAAGTCACCAATATCAAATTGACCTCCCTTTTGTCATCAGTAACAACAGATTAAAATTTGAAAAGCATTGGTTGAAAGATTCTTTACCTTTTTAACAGAAATAGCTTTAAATTGCCATGTTTCCAATCATTCAAGGACCATGACAACCTCTTAACAGCATAAGTGTAAATCTATGTCAATTCGAATTTGACAAAGAGGACTTCCATTTTGTCATCAGTAACAACATATTACAATTTGAAAAGCATTGATTGGATGCTTCATAAGTTATTGCACAGAAATGACATAAGTTGCCATTTTCCAATCAATCAAGGACCATAATTCCTCAATGGAAAAAATAAATATCATCGATATCAACTTGACCACCATTTTGTCATCAGTAACATGAAAATGAAAAATATTTTCAAAATAGTGCTCTTAGACTAGATGTATACAGTCTTTTGATCATGAAGAATCTTTTGCCTACGTTTCATAATATTCCATAAAGATTAAGTTATTGACGACTAAAAATGACTTTAAATAACCACAGACTGAACCTCAATAATGTAACATATATCTTGTTTCTCTATTGTGGGATTTTTGTTGTACCGGGTGTAGTAATTATTCAGCCTAACTAATAACTTCCTTTTTTCCTCTTTCTTATCTGATTTTAAAAGAATAAAGGACACTTTATAATGGATATAAATATCAAAATGCTGAAATTGTGAAAATTATTCTTTGTTTCTACTGTGGTACAAGTATGTCATATATGTATCAAACCTTTACTGAAATATTGCAATTCTTACAAAAAAAATTTCAAACATATCTTAATAACATCTTTATCATTTGCAAGAAGACCTGGGTGACATCATCTAAACTTAACTATTACATGTACATGTATTAAATGTGCCACTAGTGGAGCAGACTCTTCAAGAGCACCTGAGGTTGTCCCCTAATGTTTTATGTTCCGGATGTCTAATCTGTAGTTTTCTGTGTTGTATGTTCTTGACATTTCTCTGATGGCATCTCTTGTTTTGCAATGGTTTAATCTTTTATGTCTGTTTTTCGTCAACCTTTGGATTGCGACTTTGGTATATTCTCCCCCCTTTTTTCCTCCTCAGCATGAGAAATAGCAAAGCAATTCGAGGATAGATTTTCTAGGTATTTAGACAGTATTGAACATTCTTACTTTAGTAACATTGAATTCACTGAATTTTATGCAGATTCGAAGGCATATATGCATTGTTGAAACAAGTCTACCAGAATTTTCTGATTATCAAACTCATCCTATAATTTGATGAGTGGAAAACTTCATACAAAAATTTAAAAAGGATCTAATAAGAAATACGGATGCTATCTCAGCAACACGAATTAATACGGAACATTGTTAACAGGCTCATCCATGGTTTTAATGAGTTAAAACCTTTATTCAAGTTTGATTGTGAATATGATGATGGATTTCTGGTTAATGTCCAGTGGCAATTAAATGCACACCTGATAATTGAGGACAATATCATGTTAATGTAATTTGAATACATAAATGACAGACACGCTGAGGCCAAACATAAAATTGTGTTTGTTTGCTGTTTCCCTACCCTAGTCATTCAGATTTTAATTTTTTTCACGAAAGAATTTAATTTTGTGAATACTGTGGAAACAAAATTGCATGTATAATCATTTCAAATTATCTTGTCTCCCTTCTGATTCTGATCAGACATGTCAGAGACAATGTATTATATGACTCTGTTCTGATCAATCATCTGTTTTGTGCTGTTATTTAGAAATAGACATGATAGAAGACATGTGGATAGGCTCATTTATAATGTATAAAAAAAAACATTAGCTTTCACCTTTTCAGTATTTCAAAGAAAGCAGGGCCCATACAGTCGGAATGCGAATACATATGTTCAAACTCTTTTAGGTCATTTTTTAGTAGCAACAAACAAATGAGCTATGTCAATTGGACATGCTTTGATACTATATCTGCCCTTGAATTTTTACTTGATAACATTTTTGTTCGCTTTGGAGATTCCGTATATCGTCAAGTTATCGGAATTCCAATGGAGACTAACTGTGCACCACTTATTGCGGACCTGTTTTTGATATCTATATCATTAACGAGAAGCTTAATACAAAAATTTATGATAAAAGAGATGATTTTTCATTTCCTATCGTTAATTATCCATTTTTAGATGGTGACGTTCCTTTGTCACCATCTTATGGTGTTTATATATCTCAACTTGTACGATTTGCTCATGTATGTAACAACGTATTAGATTTTAGCGAGAGAAATTTATGTATTACTGAAAAATTATTACACCAGGGTTTTCGATATCATAAACTAGTCAAAACATTTACTAAATTTTATCATTGGTATAAGGACATCATTCGCAAATATAACTCAACATGCAGACATCTTATACGTTCGGGTATTTCACATCCAATCTTTTATGGTAATATTCTTTACAAAGCACAAACATGTCAGTATTTACCTCAAAAGCTAACAAAACCTTTAAACAGACTTACTAAGAAGGGATATAGTTACCATATTGGTGTCAGGTCATTAAAGATTGCATATTTTGGCTTTAATATTGATTCACTTGTAGGGTCTTTGTATCGGAATTAAACATATTTATTCTAAAACCAGTTGTTGGCATGACACGGGTTATGTTCTTCTCATATATTTTATGATGGTATAATACTAAACCCCTAACAGGAGGGATTGTGCCTGATATTCATATGATGAAGACATAATCTTTCAATCAGTTTAATTGAGGTCTGGAGCTGGCATGTCAGTAACTGCTAGTAGTCTGTTGTTATTTATGTATTATTGTCATTTTGTTTATTTTCTTTTGTTTCCTATTCTGACATCAGACTCTGACTTCTCTTAAACTGAGTTTTACTGTGGGTACTGTTGTACGTTTGTTTTTTCTACATTGGCTAGAGGTATAGGGGGAGGGTTGAGATCTCAAAAAACATGTTTAACCGCGCCACATTTTTGCGCCTGTCCCAAGTCAGGAGCCTCTGGCCTTTGTTAGTCTTATATCATTTTTAATTTTAGTTTCTTGTGTATAATTTGGAGTTTAGTATGACGTCCATTATCACTGAACTAGTATACATATTTGTTTAGGGGCCAGCTGAAGGACGCCTCCATGTGCGGGAGTTTCTCGCTGCATTGAAGACCCATTGGTGGCCTCGCTGTTGTCTGCTCTATGGTCGGGTTGTTGTCTATTTGACACATTCCCCATTTCCATTCTCAATTTTTATTTCAGAATCACAGTGAAATCAATGTGGAAAACCATTCTGTTTATGATATTTTTATTGTTTCTCATCAAAAAATATATGAATTAAAAAACAACTTTTAAAATGTATATGCAACTTAAATTGAAACAATGCATTTAATTTGCATTTAAATATATACTTGAAACCATGGTAACTAAGGGTATCTAAACAAATGTTGATAAATATGTGGTGAATGGGAATTTTTCACTTTTGGGATCATTATTCTTCTGTCAGCTGTTCTATTCAAAAGATATGATGTTTTTTTATGCAAGAAATGGATCAAACATTAACTAAAGGCAATTTCAATGAAGTCACAAAATTACTTCAGCTAAAATCATAATCTTTTGTTGTAAGTTAATTAACAAGTGCCGGAAGTGAAGGAAAATAATTTGATTTGTTTGAATAAAAAGTTGTTTCTTTGAACTAAAATACAATCAATCTACAAAGTCAATGGTTTCAACAACCTCTAAAGAAATAAATCATCATTTTCTTGAACTTCTTTATTTTATATATGAAAAACTGCCATTTCATAAACTTGGTTAAAAATGGAAAATTTCAGACAAACAAAAAATTTCTAGGGGGCAATCAAATAATTTTGGTCAGGTCCTTTTTATTAGGTCGGTCAGTGAACGGCAAACAAGCATAATTTTAATTAGGACCTGAACTGGATTTTTAATGTGCTACAAATGAATATGTAGCTGACTACAGGGAGACAATTGTCATTCTACATGCTAGCGGTGGTCCCGATGACCGATGCAAAAATGGCCATTGCAGTGCCTATGTCGGCACGTTTTTTACATTGGTCATCACATGTACCTGTAGCAAATTTCCAGTATGTTTTTTACATCAGTCATCAGATGTACCCGCGGCTAATTTCTGGTACTGGTTTCTGAATTTTATTATAAACAAACCAAAGCGGCGAGCTACAGATTTTGTAGGTCCGGCAAAAATTTTGTAGGACTAACATATAATCTTGCTTTGCATTTGTCAGTCCCATGACTGACAGGTCAAAAAAAGTTTTCGCGAACTCAGACTGAGTGCTTATCAGAGAAGCAGCAAATAACAATTTTTAAGTCTTTGGTTTTACCTAGCCAGAGATCAAACACATGATTACATGTACATTTTTATGTACCTGAGGTGAGCATGCTACAACAAGACCAGTGTCTCCACTGAAGTGGTCATTCAAATTTGAAAAGGATTTGACAATAAATGATGAAGCTACTAAGCATTGTGACAACATTCATTACAAAGTGATTACAGGGCAACAAACTAATGGACATAAACATTTTAACCTGCTCAGCAACTTTGTTCAATGGGAGGTGCTTGTTGTTGATTGGTCTACTTTGTCGAACTAGTTTGACTTGCTATATATATAGCCTGTCATGCCTGTCAACACTGAGGTTGTGAATTTCGAAGGCCGTTATTTCTGTCCTGGCACTCTGGCTTCCTCCAGCAATAAAAACTGACTGCCATGAAATAGCACAATAGTGCTGAAAGTGGCATTAAACACCAATCAATCAATCCCATGGGGGTTATATCAGGAGAGACATGATTGCCTCTTTTAAGAGGTTATTCTATGTCTTAAGGATTGTTTACAACCTGTTGATCTGCATCTGACCTGTATCTGACATATCTTCTTCTTTCATACTTAACATTTTTGCTTTAAATGCAAAATTAAGGGTAGATTATTTGTTCCACAATTTATAACCAATTTAAATTTGTCTATGCTTACAACACAACAGATATTATTTGCAGATTTTGTACAGGTAAGTGGATTAATCGCTACATGATGGATGCACTGTGTTATAAGGGGACGAAGTCCCCTATTACAGTAGAAAAATCAATAAAAAAAAAAAAAAAAAAAAATCGGGAAAATTTTCCAAAATTTTCATTGTACTAATGAACTCAAAATCGTTAACTTTTTTTTTGTAACTTTTATTAATTCCCGCATTTGCGCAGAAATCTACTTCCTTCTTCCGGTCTCGTTTGTCATGAGACTTTGAGTGAAATATATATTTATCAGTCCAGTAAAATATAGGAAGGAACACAATAACAATTTCATTTCTAATTATTCTTTGATATGAAAAAACGTTACCTGATGATAGCGTTTCTTTGTTTACATTGAACATGACGTCATAATTAAAATAACGTCACATATAAAATCCCTAATAACAGAACCAAAATCGGAAACGTTACGGTATTTCCGTTTCTTTTTTAACAGATTTAGAACTTAAAATATGTTTGAATTAAAAAAAAATAATTTATATAGACTTCGTCCCCTTTCACAGGTAATGCCTGCCTCATATTAATATCCATTGTCCGTTTCACCGTATCATATCAAGGAAGATACATGTAGCTCGGATGGTCTTCTAAATTCTAATTTCCAACTGCCTGGACTGCCAGCAGCTATAAAATGTATAATGAATGATTTCTTAAATATAGATAGGATCTCCTGTAGTTGGTGATCGCAATACTGGTATACTAGTATTGTGCACAATACTGGTATAAAAATTTTGTACCAGTATTGTATTCCAGTATTGTACCAGTATTGCGTTTTTTTTAAATAAACAATACATATAGGTAATTAATCTTTTATTAAAGGTGTCACATATATTTGCATAATGATATTAACATATGACATGACAATTTTATATGGAATGATTGTATGTTTAACTGATGATGCCATTGATGGTACACTGTGATTGTAATCAAAGAAAGTTTTAAATCTTCTGATGTTTTTTTCTTGAGGGAACCGTACTGTCTCAGCATTTTAACAAACTCTTTACTTTCTTCTATGTTTTCTTCCAGCTCTCTCTTTCCATGTCTCAATAGTATATTTTAGTGAATTTTATATTGACATTAATGCTGTAATAGCTTCTGTATCATCAGCATTGGTATTGTTTATTTCTTCTTCAGATGGCATTTCTGCAATCCTCAATTCCTATATTGATATTTATGTATTCAGTCTGTGGACTTTCTCTTACGCTTACTAGATTACAAGCTTGTTTAGATAGCACCTGTACGGCTCTCTTACTGTAGGAGTGCTTGTCTAGTATTAGTGTTTGAGTATTTGTACCAGTAGATATATCTGCTACAAATTGTATTGCCCATGGTTCTGAATCAACTGCTTTAACTACCCTTAACATTCATGTAGACCAACTAGTTAATTTGATTATAATCAGGTTCCCCTATTAGGCAACTTTTTATGTTTAATGGATACTGATATCTTTTATCGTGTTTATTGTGAAAGATAGATAAGAAAATAAAGACAAACAAATGCTTAGAATCTTAGTATACATGTATTTAAATATCTGTAAAAAATATGATGGCATACATGTACATGTAAATGCTGAATTTACAGTGTTATAGTGTAATAATTTGCTTGAATTTATTAAATAATAACTCAGATAATAAAGCTTTTATTTTATTTTATCTAAATTGAAATAAATAAAATATAGAAATATGATAAAATTTTTAGCAATTATTTATATAATTAACAATTGTTTGAATAAGATGATTTAATTACAATAATCTTTTGTTTATTTGTACAAGTATAGTAATTATTTTTAACTGGTTGTTAATTGATTTCACAATTATCCTCTATAATCTTTTTGAGTTCATTTATTCTCCCTTTGATCTTCAATATATTTTTCATTATACACCTTAAAGTATAGTGAACAATACAACTACAATACTGGTATATCAGTAATGTACCAGTATTGCTGTTTTTTTTTTAAAAGTTACAATACTGGTACAAAATTTTTATACCAGTATTGTGGACAATACTGGTATACCAGTATTGCGATCACCAACTACAGGAGATCCTATAGATACATTGAATATAAATGCTAAATATTGATTCCATCGTGAACAGTTTGAAATGAGAGGTTTTGTTCTATTAAAGAACTAACATAACCTGCAGAACTGTGCACACTGTAGTCTGTAGAAAACCCAGACCAAAAAATACAACGACAGTTAACTTGTTAACCTCGGATTCATCATACCATCACTGTTCGAACATACCCGATTCACTTCCTATTTCTATATCAAAAAATACTCGTGGATTTTCTTCGTTTTCCATTCTAAATGATTATACAGTCTTAGGAGTTCGTTTCGAAGCCGGTGCTCGATACAAATCACAATCGTTGAAACGCTTAACTATAATTTGCTTCTTCTGTTCCATTAAAACGTTTGTAAAACACGGACGTCTACTGAAAGAAAAAAGAAGGATAACTCTGTTTGGCGGGAAAGGCAAACCTCACAAGGTGTAGATATATATATATATATTACAATGTAAACTAATGCCACAACTCACTTGTCTGTTGTAAACTTTAAAAACAATCTTCTCTGAAACTAATATGGACTATAAACTACAATAGACAATATACAATATGTTTTTGCATGAACTGTAATCCAAACATGACCCCTGGGTGTTTTCAGATCTTGCAATTAATCTCATTAAAATTATATCATATATCTCTTAATACAACTGCCTTACAAGTTGAAGTCGAGGTTAAGATAGCAATGTCTGTCTGTACTCTTTGCCTCCAATATAGGAGATCTGACCATCAAAAGCATATTGGATTGAGCAAATCTAAAGAACTATAAATCTATTTGGAGTGGCCTTATTATCAATTTTACTTCATTGTTATTTTTCTTTATTCTTTGTCACAAACAACTATATGTTTATATGACAATAAAGTATTATGATGTTTTGATATACAATTTTTGGTCCTTTGTGCACTTATGATATTCCTTTGTCACTCATTGGCAGCTCCCAAGTGCGCAGAGGAGGTCCCTCTTGGTGTTTTTAGAGACCAATTGCATAAAATTGAGAATGGAAATAGGGAATGTGTCAAAGAGAACAACCCGACCATAGAACAGAAACAGCAGAAGGTCACCAACAGGTCTTCAATGCAGCGAGAAATTCCCGCACCCTGACGCGTCCTTCAGCTGGCCCCTAAACAAATATAATTACTTTTGGAGTGTCAAGAACTCGTTGGAAGTACTTGATAAATTGCATGCATATATTGGTGATTTTGAATCTGTTCAAAGTTTTGATTTTTCTACCCTATATACCACATTGCCTCACATTCTCATTAAGAAAAAATTCACACACCTAATTAAATGGGCATTTAAAAAGTCAGAATGTGAATATATATGTTCAAACTCTTTTAGGTCATTTTTTAGTAGCAATAAACAAAAAAACTATGTCAATTGGACATGCTTCGATACTATATATGCCCTTGAATTTTTACTAGATAACATTTTTGTTCGCTTTGGAGATTCCGTATATCGTCAGGTTATCGGAATTCCAATGGGGACTAACTGTGCACCACTTATTGCGGACCTTTTTTTGTATTGCTATGAGTTACAATTTATGACAAAAATCAGCAAAGACCCATCGAAACAACATCTGATACACAAATTTAATAATACTTTTAGATATTTGGATGATATTTTGGCTCTCAATAATGACGACTTCAGTATGTATACTAAAGAAATTTATCCTGTTGAACTTACTTTAAATAAAGCTAATACTAACAATGACCACTGCCCTTTCCTCGATCTTGATATCTATATCATTAACGGAAAGCTTAATACTAAAATATATGATAAAAGAGATGATTTTTCATTTCCTATCCTTAATTATCCATTTTTAGATGGTGACGTTCCCTTGTCACCATCTTACGATGTTTATATATCTCAACTTGTACGATTCGCTCGTGTATGTAACAATGTTTTAGATTTTAACGAGAGAAATTTATGTATTACTGAAAAATTATTACACCAGGGTTTTCGATATCACAAACTAGTCAAAACATTTACTAAATTTTATCATCGGTATAAGGACATCATTCGTAAATATAGCTCAACATGCAGACTTCTTATACGTTCAGGTATTTCACATCCAATTTTTTATGGAAATATTCTTTATAAAGCACAAAAATGTCAGTATTCACCTCTGAAGCTAACAAAACCTTTAAATAGACTTATTTAGAAGGGATATAGTTACGATACTGTTGTCAGGTCATTAAAGATTGCATATTTTGGCGTTAATATTGATTCACTTATAGGGTCTTTGCATCGGCACTAAACACATTTATTTAAAAACCAGTTGTTGGCATGACACGGGTTATGTTCTTCTCATATATGTTATGATGGTATGATACTAAACCCCTAACGGGAAGGATTGTGCCTGATATTCATATGATGAAGACATAATCTTTCAATCAGTTTAATTGAAGTCTGGAGCTGGCATGTCAGTTAACTGCTAGTAGTCTGTTGTTATTTATGTATTATTGTCATTTTGTTTATTTTCTTTGGTTACATCTTCTGACATCAGACTCGGACTTCTCTTGAACTGAATTTTAATGTGCGTATTGTTATGCGTTTACTTTTCTACAATGGCTAGAGGTATAGGGGGAGGGTTGAGATCTCATAAACATGTTTAACCCCGCCGCATTTTTGCACCTGTCCCAAGTCAGTCGCCTCTAGCCTTTGTCAGTCTTGTATTATTTTTAATTTTAGTTTCTTGTGTACAATTTGGAGTTTAGTATGGCGTTCATTATCACTGAACTAGTATATATATTAGTTTAGGGACCAGCTGAAGGATGCCTCCGGGTGCGGGAATTTCTCGCTGCATTGAAGACCTGTTGGTGACCTTCTGCTGTTGTCTGTTCTATGGTCGGGTTGTTGTCTCTTTGACACATTCCCCATTTCCATTCTCAATTTTATATATACTAGTTCAGTGATAATGAACGCCATACTAAACTCCAAATTGTACACAAGAAACTAAAATTAAAAATAATACAAGACTAACAAAGGCTAGAGGCTCCTGACTTGGGACAGGCGCAAAAATGCAGCGCGGTTAAACATGTTGACTTAAAAAAAAAGATAGGATTTAAAAAAAGCTTATATTGGCACTGTAAATGTAGAAAATTCCAGTTTTGTATCACTGATTACCTGATAAGAAATACATAGTTTCATTAATATAATTTGTACCAGTTTAGATGTCATTTTGACAATATAGTTACACATTTTAATGACGAAATCTCTAATTTGATTAATGGGTTTTCAGTTTGGATATTTTTTGCAATTTGCATATGATGAGCATTACAAATACATTAAAGCAACAGAGATGAATAAAATATGGAATTTTATACCTTTAAAAGTGAAGTCTGAAATTAACAGAAAAATCAAACATTAAAGTAAGTATATATTTTAGAATGATTTGAACTACATCTTCAGATTGGTAAACTTTGTATGCTTTAAGATCCAAAAAAGGCTTGTTTCCATGAGTTTTTTTTAAAGTAAAAACAAAAGGAACCTTGTCAGTGTTATTCAGTTACAAAAAAAAGTGAAATAACAAAAATGCCGAACTCCAAGGAAAATTCCAAATGGAAAGTCCATTATCAAATGGCAAAATCAAAATCTCAAACACATCAAACGAATGGAAAACAACTGTCATATTCCTGACTTGGTACAGGCATTTCCTTATGTAGAAAATGGTGGATTAAACCTGGTTTTATAGCTAGCTAAACAAGTGCCTTTTCTGTATAGATTTTATGTTTTTCAGTGAAATTGCTGTGTAACAATAAAATTAAAAAGTAAACTGTGGTATCATTAAAGTATATATGAAGTATACATCAAGTATAAAAAAAGTTTTCAAAAAATAGTTTGTCAAAGGATTCCACAAGAGTTAATTCCCTTCTGCTGTATTATTTTAAGCATTTAAAAAAGATCTTAATGTACAACTTCTTTGTACAAAATGAGTTACCTCCCTTTGTCCATAACACAAACATTTTTTTTTTTTTTTTTTTTTTCAAAGTTTTATCTTGTCGATACTTGTAAACAAAGTAACACAAGCTCTAGTGAGCTTTTGAAATTGACATTGTAATACATTACACACATCAAAATGAAATGCAACAGAACATAAATATAAAGACAAACATGCATACATTACAACATGACATAAATGCTTGGCTGTTGTCTGCTCTATGGTCGGGTTGTTGTCTCTTTGACTAATTCCCCATTTCCATTCTCAATTTTATAAAAACATCAAGCACATACATGAAATAAGCAAATAAAATAATACTGTTTATGCAGATAAATTATAATATAGCGAACTAATTTAGTATAAAAGCAACAAAAAAGCCAAGCTACGCTCAAATCACAAAGCACTAATTGCATGCATCACATTGGCATGAGCTGCCATTCCAGGTCTGTATTAGATTGGTAAATTGAGTTAGAGAATTTTCCTGTCTTATGTGGTTTGGCAGCTCATTCCATAATTGTGCAGCACTATAACGACATGATTTTAGCCCATATCTTGTAGTTTTTACTCTCGGTATATCAGCTGTATCCTTAGATCTTAAAATTATAATGTTGATTTTTGATATTTATTAGGTCATGAAGATAACTCCGACTTTTCTTGTGTACAATTTTAAATGTTTCAATTCCAATGGTTCTAAGTCTGCAAATTTTTAAAGAAGGAAGTTTAGAAGTCAAAAGTAAATTTTCATAGCTGCTTATATAGTCCTCATATATGAAGCGGAGAGCTCTTTCCTGAATTTTTTCCAATATTTTGTGTATTTTTTTTCACTATTATAACGCTGTTTGACAACCAAAACCAGAACGAAAAGCTGATTAAAAGGGGATTAAAATGATTTTTTAGAAATTCCATTAGTTGATCGTGAATTGCTCGCTCATGAATTTTAGAAATAGCTGGCAGCACACTTACAGGACAGTAATTACCTTTTTCAAGGGTGTTGTTCTTTTTGAAAGTTGGGGCCACTTGGGCAGATTTAAGTTTTCTGGAAAGACTGAATTTTCAAAAGATTTATTAATTAACAATTTTATGGGGCTTACAATAGCTGGTTGTGCTAGCTTTATGATTTTAGAAGAAATGCCATCATACCCTGTAGCCTTTTTTACATTTAACTTGTTTATCTGTTTATTGACAAATTCTTCTGTTACTGGTGTATAAACTACTTCTTTTTCACTTATTCTGTTCTTCTCAATTTGTTTAATGCTTGGGTGGTTTTTGTCAATTTTTATACTACTGTCTCCAATGTTTTTGGCAACATTTACAAAAAAAATGTTAAATATTTCAGATACTTCCTGAGGCTCACTAACTATTTTGTCATTTTCA